CTCACATAAGTCGAATGATTTGTGTGGTGCATATATATCCGTTTAAAGAAATAAATATAAGATCATGCAATATGCGAAACCTTAAGTACTTAATGCTCAAATGCAGGCATATGATCAGTTAGGAGTTGTAATGCACCTATACTAATGAAAAATAAAGTGATACATTGGGAAGATAAGAACTGTAAATGCATTAAAATATAGACATTTCACATAAAGTTGCCGGAACAAACTGAATGAGCATCTAGTTTTAAATTGCTACACTTCAACTACGTTATAGACATTTTTAATCACTCGTGGTTTTAGGGATATGTGAGACTATAGTCATCAATGAATGAATACATTTATAGCAATCATGAACATTTAAATAAACATTATGTGACTCGTTAATTTTGTTGAAGTACTCAGATAGAGAATTTTGATCATGCTTAATCAAAAATGAAAAAGAGTGTTTGCAATTAAGACTACTTTTTTTTCAAAATGTCTGGAAATTTTATGTCGCTTCATAAATAACACACGAATAGCCTGTATTATGCTAAACATGTCACAAAGTATTAATTATTTATTCAGTTTTTGTAGAGAATTGTACTTGTAAAGTAAAATGTATTAACAGAAATGCCGACTGTAAAGTAATAAATAATGTCAATAGTTGAGATTATGAGTAAATTGATGCTAGACCCCCATGGGAAACCTGGAAGCACTGGACGGAATTCCACAATAGGACTAAATGGCCGTCCAGTGTTTCCAGATTTTCCATAATGATCTAGCTTCAATTGATTCATGAATTCAATTATTGAATAATTTATGCTTTCGGAAAGCTTGTCGAGTATTCACTTTCAAAATAAGAGTTTGATTCAACAATGTACAATTTAGAGTCTAATAACCATAACCAGATTCTGTCAAGTAAACATAACTGTTGCTCTACAATCATATTACTGTTCTGACTGTCCTATGTTAATTTGACTAACTGTGGTGATAAATCATTGGTAAATTCGTATAAAACTATGTTAACATTTTTAATCTGAGCAAATATTCTGGGAAATCATCGACATAAACTATTTCCACACTATCCATATTTGAGTTACAGAAAAGGAAATGTATGTCTGCTTATTTACAGGTATACCATACTTACGACAGTTAAGAGTGATTGGTGGAGAAACTATACATTTAATTTTATTGCTATAGTGAATAAAAATGCACGAAAGTTAAATTTGACTGTTTTTTTAGTGAACTGTTATTCATTTTATGATTAGAATTGATTTGATTTAATCTCATTGTTAATATTCGAAATGAATTTCCGCCAGTCTTTCCTACCATACATACATCTTTTAAAGATTGTATAGACGTAGCCAGTAGAATAGATGAATTTCTAGCTTGCATTTGAATCCAAGATTCGCTTTAAGTTCTATTTCGAACTTATCAGCTACATATATATACATACTAGTTTTAATGTTTACAATTAGACTGGCATTCTCTACATATTACTTTGCATGATAAGACGTTAATCATTGTGAAAGCAAGTCCAGATATTCACTAACATGTCGAATTTGTTGTCGCACGGTAGATAAAAGGCTGTCACTTGAAGTTAAACGTACTCACTTTAAGAACAATTCTAACGTTAACACTGATATAAATTAGTAGCTACATTGTTATAAAATTAATCATAAACACATCAACTGTTTGTACCGATGACGTACGAATTAATATGTTTCATTTCAATAAAAACCTTATTCCAAACATAATACTGTCCTCTAAACATTGTGTTATTTAAGAACACTACCCATAGGTGTTTTCAAATGCAAAAAGTTTTTGTTTAAAGGCTTATTGGTTTCAAGGAACAAAAAAGTGTTACGATAGTGACTTCTAATTTCTACATAAAATTTCAAAAATACATATCACCAGTGAATCATTTAGTTCCCAATAACAAGAATAGCTCTGAAGAAGCGGCTTACACTAAGTTACGAAACGTCAAAATCAAGATTTCTCTACTCATGGGAAATAACAAGAATAAATTAACTAGTGTGGCTTTGGTCAGCTACTGATACTATTCACTATTATAATCATTTGTTCGTTTTTTTATTTATTCGTACTTAAATATGGTATTACGTCAGATTACTGTGCATTACTATACCCTTTACTATAAAGTAAATAGTCCATCAATTGACAAACTACATTTTCTTACACACCAACGTGATTTTCAAAATATTATTCTTTGTAATTTTTTTTTCAATATTTACTTCATATTTTATTATCATAACCATATACACTACTTTAACCGCTTCATTTTAATTACTTTTTTTGTATATATAAACATATATTACTTATCTTTTATCCTTGATTAGTTCTATTTTTAATAAAATTAAATCAAAAAAAAGTTCCAAATTTAATCTAAACAGAAGAAAACAAGTCAATAACTATGTAGATACAAAACAAAAAGTAGAAACTTTGTTTCACTTTGATTTTTCGATCGTTTAAAGATTAAATAAGCAAATATTAGTAATAATAATAATAGTAGCAGTAGGAAGATGAAGAAGAAAATTAATTGTGAAGCATCTGAAAAGGAAACAAACAAAAATAAAATTTTATTTTGTGCTTCAATTGATTGAGTAACTTATTACAGTTTTGTTTTTTTAATTTTTGATAACTGAAGTAACGTATGCTTCGTTGGTCTGTAAAGCTATATATATATATATATATATATAGTTTAAATCCTCAAACATTTGTTAATTGACCTTAACTAATACCATTATTTTAAGAAAAATGTATTTGACTGCCTGAAGTTAAAATATTTCCCTGTAACTATCAACTATATGGTTTGTATTATAATTTGTTTGATCTGCGATACTATATCGCCCTTTAGTTGGATAGAATAACTAATAGTTGTTTTCATATTCCATAAAGTTATTAACTTTAGTAAATAGTAGCACATATGTTTAATCTATACATTTTGTTCTTTATATTTCAGAAATCACTTTAAAAATGGTTATGAAATAGTGAGATATTAATGATAAGTAGATGATTGATTGACAAGGTAGTGTTGAATAAGATAGAAATAGATTTCTGTCAAAATTACATTCAGTTTTTTGTGAAATAAAATAGTCAAAAAGCGGTTCGTCTAAGGTTTTTGATTCAAGATCATTAGTAGTCCTGATGACTTTTAAATTGAAAGAAGTATGAATCTTTCATGATTTGATTCCCTGATACCCATTGTTTATAACAAAATTTCAATTCAATCTAAACAATATTTTCAAGTTAGCGTTTCAGATTAAATATAAAATTCAGAGTGATTTACGATTGTTCATAGACTATGAATACTATTTTATTTACAAATCAAAACTAACAGACCAATTATCTAATAATAGTTTTTGTCTGAAAATTATATCACTATAAGGATTACTGAGTACTATGAAATGATAAACACTCGACCTAGCGACCTAGCCTAGTGTTTTTCAGAAGTTTACACATACAGCTACGCATGAAATGGAACCTGGATCCACTTGACCCCCATAGAGATCATGATATCCCTAAAACACTGGTTCAGAATTTGATTGGAAATACTTTAATTCTTCTGTTATGTATTTAATCAACTATCCGTTGATGAGCAGTCTTTCAATTAATTTCATTATCGCATTAAAAGTTACCTTTATACTGACCATTATTTCTACATACTTTATACGCAAACGACATCGATTATCTCATGAACGTTTAACAAATGGACTTCATAGAAGATATTCAGATTTTCATTGAAAAGCATTACGATTTACCCTTAACCAATGAGTTTTATTTACATCATATAGATGTTCCTGACTAATCTTCATAATGAAGTAACGAAGTCCTATAAAAGTAGATCGTTTATCATAATGAAATGTGAGAAATAGTAAACAAAATCTTCAGGTCGTTTCACCAGCTTTACTTGATTATTGGGATATCTGAATCAGAGTAATTTTGACACACTGTTAACAAATTAAATAAATTCACTGACGACAAACTAACAGTAAACAAATCGAAAGACATACGTAAGTTGCGCAAAAATAACTAAACAATACATTTTTAAGAAAAGGAGTGAGGAAAATGTTAGACTCCTCACTACACCTGAGGCCATATGCTTTCCTTTTGTTTGTAAAATGTGACCTATTTTTACAAAATTGATAATATAAACAGGTGAATATTATTTATTTTAACTATGTGTGGTATTGGAGAACCTATAGACATAAATGTTTTCATCAGAGTAGAGTGAACCAAAAACCCAGAAACTCTTTTTCCTAGACTAATATGTGAAAAAATATTCTACTTAAATATGATTGGTTTAAAAGAAATTATATCAAAAACGTATATTCCTCAACCCAAAACTCCAGAATCAAGACACGTTTCAGGTTTGAGCAATGGCTACTAACTAATTACAGAAATGATGGATGTGAATATGTTTATTACATAATAAATAAAGTCTTTTTTTCTGGAGTAATGAAAAAACTGGAATATTTTAAATTTTAAGAAATTTCTGTTTGCTGATGTTAAAATGGTGATAATCTATGAAAGAAGCTTATGTATAAGGGAGGAAACTGTGAATCCAACATTACGGTGGAGTGGTTACATAGTTTAATATGTGAAAATGTGTCTGATTTTAAAATATCGCAAGAGAATATGGATAGTCAGAAGTGATAATAATGAGGTCTGCTCCATGGAATCAATTATTCCTCGCTGTTTAAATCATTTAATATTACTTGCATTAGTGTTATCAACTCCGTTAAGTATTCAATCCACAAAAAACATGCATAAACGTCAGTTATACTCGGATACATTAAATTTATTTAATGGAAATATTTCTAAATTACCTCCTGTTGGATTACCCACTATTTTAAATTGGCGTACTAATTTATCTTTGGATTTTTTTTCTATGTCTAAATCTAAATTCAACCGAACAAAACCAATTCAAACAATAACATCTCATTTGAATGTATATCCTCATATGATACTGGATGTAAATAAATCTAATAACGATGCAGATGGACTTATATCTCAAAGAACTTCTTCCTTACCTAAATCTCCATCCCTTTTTGTTGATCAATCTGGTCCATGTACGCCTGAAGAAGAAGCAAAGAAATCACAATGTCTACGAGAATTACCAGCTGAACGATATGAAGTACTTGAAGGTGAAACAGTTTTAATGCGGTGTCGTGTAGCTAATCAAAGAGGGAAAGCACAGTGGCGTGCTAGAAACTTTTTATTGGGTGAGTAGATTAAATATTTCTATGAGTACTTTAACTAATAGATGCTTTGTTTTATTATTTGTATGACAGTTTTCAATTAAAAAATAAAAGTATAACATTGGAAAAAGTTTATGAAATGTTTTAAAACCTATAATTGTCTGTATGATATTATCTGAATATTTTGTACTTTTTATGAATCACAGTGACCACTGTAGAGTTGAAAAGAATAAACGTAGAAAAATACTGTCCAATATACACTGGTTCTCAGTGATTCTCTGCACTATAAACTATCATAAAGATTTTTCTTTAGCAATGGAAAATAAGGTCCTTTCCATTGATTAGCATGTGTTGAAGAAATAAAACGCCACAAATCACAATATTATACGCACAAATATTTTGGTGAGTCAGCCATATAATGTGCAATGAGATCAGTTTTTTTCTCTTTGTTTACAAAAGTATCAAATGTAGAAACTTTCGATGGTTAAGAATATGAGTCAGTTGAAGCTAAACGGCCGTCCAGTGCTTCCAGGTTTTCCATGGTGGTCTAGCTTCAACTGACTTATGATCTTAACCATTGAAATTACTATATTATCCACAAAACCCATCTGATATAAATGTAGAAACTTTGTTCAAGGTTACTACTAGGTCGTAAAAATGAATATGAAGTAACAACTAATAGAATTCGAGACATAATAGTAATTTACACATGAACAGTCATCAATAGAGAATATGTATTAGACACTATTCTTCATTTCAATTATGAAATAATCAGTTATTGTAATGTATATTTCTGTTTCCAAAATGATACAGAATATATTAAAGATCCTACATAAATGTGTCTTACCCAAAAAAAGTTTGTTTTAAAATGTTAATTGTTTTCATGAAACTAATTCTTTATTAAAAATAATATGAAGTGTTAAAATCAATAGCCTCCATCACTCTTTAGAACCTTTATTGTACATCATAAAGAAATGTGTAACTCAACAATATAACGTTTTTCACTTTAACTCTGTAACTATTTATATACATTAACATTTTCAATGATCCATCTTGAAAAACTGGAATGTTATTCATGTGATTTCTTATAAGATCCATTAAAAATCTTCAATGTTGAATTCATAGTTTGAAGTTGATGATGAAATATGTTCAAGGTTAATGAATGTAATTCACTTGAATTTCATTTGACAAATAAATTTCAATGAAATTCTTATTATATTGTTAAAAGGTAACAATGCAGTTTGAAAGTGTATTACATAACAATCTACAATCATTATACACAAATGTACCTGACCTTCATCAGTAGATAGTAAACGATCTAATAATGTCAAATGCATAATAGCTTAAATAATTTGTTAGCAAATAACAAATGGTAACATTGACATCTAAGTGAAATGCAGGTAATTGATCGACAGTAAAACAGTATTCGTTTCAAACTTGTTTTTACATTACTAATAAACAGTATTAAGTATATAGATGGAAATCTAAATTTGAGAGATAAACTTTTATTAATATTTTTGAGAACAGTTTAATTTGAAAACTAAGATTGCTTTCTTTTTTCTATTCAAATCAAATTTTAACCATAATGTCTTATAACCAGTTATTCAAAGTAATTTTGTAATTGCTTTTCTACTGGTGACAAAATATTAAGCTAGTTATTAAGCTAATAGATTTCTGTGAATCTAATTATGCTTATTTATCAATTCGTTGATTATTCGATTCATTTAATGAAGTGAAGATAATAACACTAGTTTAAATTTAGGTGGAAAGTAGTTGAGATAGAGATTTCTTTGTCATTAGCCTCAAGCTTAAATAATGTGTAGATAAACAGAACAGGTATGAATCAACATTATCCACAATCCGAGTTGACAGTATATCGATCCGCCTAATCATATGAAGGTAATTTAAAATAATTTATAATCAAATAAAATAATGTTTCAAAAGTCCTAAGATTCATGACACATATATTTGAAAATGTCTTCTTATCTGGCAACACAAGTCCCTTGATGGTGAATTATGAATGTAGTTTTATTTGAAGAGAACACCGAATTCAAACACTTATGAAACAATCGGATTTATAAATTTGCAAACTCACATAATTACCACATTTTCGACCCTCATTATTTCGTCCTGAATATACTATTTATTTGGAAATTCTAAATTCTAAATTTTGCTAAATCATTTGTCATTGGAAATATATACAATGCTGTCATGTTGCAGATATACTGAAATTAGTGTTTTCGCATACAACTTATCATCACATGTATGATAACGACGTATTCCTTTCCATTTGCCATCTTGTGCATCAATATACAGTCAGCAGAGTAGTCAGAATATTCTGTTTAGTAAGATGAAGCACACACTAAATTGATTTCCAAACAAGAGGAAATCTCTTAACCAAACCAATATGTAAGCAGTCATAATACTGCATAAGCAAATGTAACAGATTCAGATCAGATTTAAGGTTCTTTGAAATATCGGTAGTCTACTTAAATGTTTTGCTAAATATTTTGTAGTTGGGCACATATAGCAATACAGCAACCTATTTTAAAGTTTATTTGAACTGAATAATTATGAGTCCTATCTGTTTGCATTTACTCTGTGTTATGAAGTGTTTACAAACTATCATGATGCTCAACACTCCAAATCTCAAAACAAAACACTTAGTTTCTAGTTTATTCTCCTCTGTCTCTAAACTTCTGAGGAAAAACGAGTGACAAATATATTGTAATTCTTGCATTTCGTTTCTGGGAGTTGGAAAATATTAACTTTCCCAGTCGAAGATGAGTATAAAATATTGATTACCAAGAAATGTTAATAATTTTCATATAATAACAGTCTAAACTTATGTTAAGGAGAAACAACTCACAATTTCGAACTGTTGGTACTCAAGAATAAAATTATTATTATCATTATTATTATTATTTTGATCAAAACACTTGAGCGACATACGAAAACTGGTAAAAAAGCAAGCCTCCAGGAAATTGAATTTTTCTTTTTGCGTCATAAAGCAATCTTTTCTCATTTGACACCTCACAGTATCAGTGTGAAAACTGATCACTTTCTATTCCGTAACTATTTTCCAACAAAACAAAGGATTAATTGATGTCTGTATTTTTCAACTAGTAATGGAAATTTTCATTTATACCTAAACTGTTTATCATAGCTATATTGTCCCGTGTTTTCCTATCAACACATATATGTAAATCTAATAATAAAAAAGGTTATGATCCCATCGCTTTTATGTACTTTCATGTTGATGATAAAGAAACTGTCATTTTTCATTTCATTGAATATTCTTATTGAGACATTAAAAAGACAAGCTGAGCGAAGAAATATTTCTTTTTAATTAGATCTTCATCAAGTCTCTACACTAATACATGTTTTATAAGTGAGGAGAAAGTCGATACCAATTAGATGGTTGTTAGTCAATTTAACAAAATAGTAAACTGTTAGTTACAAAACGTTTGGAAAATTAAAATTAAAAGTATAATCAAAGCGAATTCCCATAATCCGTTAATTATTACAAATAGTTACATAATCAAAGTTGGATGTAAATATGTTTTTGTTATTTATGAAATTGTTAAGTAATAAGTAGGACGGATACCGTGAAAATTAGATAATATGATCAACAAAGTGGTTAAATAATATTAGAATTATAAATTCATGTGTTAATCAAATCGAATTCCAGAAATTTTTCAGAGAAGGGGAAGAAAGGTTTTGAAGTATGTATTGGTATCTATGTAGAAGGCCAAGTTAGATTCAAAGGTTTTGGTAGATTTCCATTCTCTGAGCTGGATGGTCTTGTCGTGGAGCTTTTATAATTATTCTGAACGAAGTATTATAGAGTTGAAGTGTTCAAATTTTTCAACATATGGCTCACAGCTAGTCCTGTAGACTTTGATCTTGTTTGGTAATTGCTGACCATCAACCTGTCATTATTTACTTCGTTATTTCGATGAAAAATAAAGGATAACAATGAAAGCTTCACGACCAAACCATCGGGCTCAGAGAACAAAAATCCACTAAAATCATCCACCTGAGCTACAAATCTCCACGAGCTTAGATTCCAAGATTGTATAAACTTCCTTTATATACAAAGGCTATGTTTATTGATGAATATTCCTATGGCTTCTGCTATGTGCATGAGTCGGATTCCGGAACCATAAGATACATTCGATGAGATTTTGTAAAGAATTAGAAACGCTCAATTTCCACCTATATGGTGACCGTAAAGGATGATAAACATGTAAATGCAATTGATTTAAGGTGCAATTACATTGGCTGAAATAAGTAAATAAAAATATCTGTTTAGTAGAATCATAACAAATTAAAATCATACATCATTGTCATGAACATTCGGTTAACAGTAAGCAAAATCTCAGTATTAGAGAACATTTAAAACCACAAACGTTATATCATTGTCTCTAGATCCATAAAAGACCTTAATATATCTACTAAAAATTCTTAAAGCACTAACTTAATGTTATTTAATTTTTTGTACTGATTACCGTTTGAACTATTATATTATATTATTTGCTTTATTCAGTACTATATTTTTGGTACACAATAGAATTCTCAGTACATAGTATTTTAACAAGTTTCTGTTTCTTACTTCTAAGTCGATCCTGACGATAAATATTGACTGATCGTCAGTCGGATGTTAGCAGTCTAGTCAATCGACATCTAAATAACGCAATTTTTTTCGCTACATATTGCCAGCAACCACGATAACTGTGACTGGATCTTCTTCCATTTGTACAACGAAATGTTGTACACTTTTGAGAAACGCACCTGAATAGGTCATACGATTAATAGTCATAGTGTTGTATTAAAACAAACAAAATTAGATAACTTGTTGAAATATCTAGATGGCAGAAACAGGCAGCCCAGATGTTCAAGCGGGCCGTTACTGACTTGATTTGCATTTGACATTTGTCAAGTCTAATACTAGTGATATACCATTATGATTATGTGGATTATAAGAGTGTATTTTTAAAGGTTTCTTTCTAATATCAGTAGGC